TCGGTACTTAACCAAAGTTAACATGAAAAACATTGACCGATAGCAAACATAACGTTCGTTAGACATATGTAAGTTATCTGTCCTTAAAAAATGACCTGAAACAGCAGCCAAACTGAAGGGCATATAATTCGACTTGGGTTCCGCTTATGTTACTGTAGCATATGCGTTCAATATTTTTTCAAGATGGAAGAGTAATCAATGCGAAAATATCTTGTTAATGACACACACATTAAACGTAATTTATAATCGAACAACGTTCATAAATGTAGCGCGATTTTACATTATATGGAACTACTCTATGAACTCAACTGTGAGCGCCAAAACCAATGACTTGTATAAACATTGGAAATTAAATGTTTCATGTTAATTGCTCTATTTATATATCTATTTTATAGTCGTAATGAATGTAAATGGGCATCAACAAAACTCTTTTGGGTGCACCTACTGCATAAATATTTTTTTTTTCTGTCATGAGAAAAATATTACAAATGAGAGTTTAACGTCTCAGTTTTAGAAAAAAATGTACACTAAGAATAAAATGATAATAAAACAGTGGTCTTGATTTTCCGTCAGAATGTTAGCTCTTTATACAGCTGTCCTGCATCATGGACAGCCTCGAAAAAAATTTATGCTTACAACGACAGTTCTTTCTCTTCGACCTGTTTAGTTTGGACGCCTGTAACATTCTCAAGAAATGACACAAAGGTTTGATATTTGGAAAGAGTGATCCAGAGTGAGTCAAAATGATCATGAGCTCCTTCTTCTTATTTAAAACTTGAGATATTTTGAACAAAAAGAAAAGCAACAAGCATTTTCACGTTGTTTTTTTTAAAGCCGTCCCGCTTAAAACATTCTATGAAATGCGGAAGCGTGTCCAAAATTACTTAATGATATTTTCCAGTCAAAAAAAAATGCTATAGCAATTGAATTGAATTTATTTGCATACTGTAAATATACCAACCAACTTATAACCATTAAAGTTTATATTTTTGTCATCACTGCAGCAAACTGTTATCAATGGCGCCGGTAATACGGATTGGGTACTAAGCAATAAAGTTTCTTACCTAAGGAAATTACGACTTACCGCTGACGGGACTTGAACCTACACAGCCAGGAATCCTTAGATTTCTAGTCTGACGCGTTTGATCAAAAGAAATTATATAAATAACACAACTAATAACAACACTGCACCTTTACCCTCCTGGAACCGATATTGATTAACTAGTATACAGCCAAGCGAGGCTGAACATCCGTGCAGTCTGATTAGGCTCTGCACGGCTGATTTACTTGTTCTATCTTAACTACTACAATGTTTTGCAGAAACATCCCAAGATATCGCCCAGCCAGTGTTACACCCCTGTAACTAACGAGTATCATATACATGTATATAATAACTGTTTTATCACAATTTTATCGCAAAGTGCTTTGTAACAGATATAAGCAAAAAATTAATATATTCTGTGCTTTGCCCTCTCTTGTCAGTTTTTGTATTTTCTGATCGCAGATCAGGAAATGCAATGCTAACATTTAATCTCCTTACGACAAATCTAACAACAAGTAGTTCTCAAAACAGCTTAAAACTAGCGATGTAAAAGAAAGAAATATTTTTACAAGAATCCAACAAATTACAACGCATTCAAAGTTGAAAGGTAGCGTTGGCTTATAGAATTGTCAATAAATGCACAATCACAAATTACGCGAAAGAATATCATGTTTATCAATGAAAATCCTATTGTTAGCGATGTCGATTACCGAATACTTCAAATAAATCTGACTGTCGAGTAGTGGAATATATACATGCGAGAAGATTTTCGCTAAATTATTTACATCAGTGTTTAATAATAGGTTTATCATGAACAAAATGCCTCAAAATTAATAAGGATTACAAAACCTAAAATGGAAATTCTAAATTTAGAATTATTTTATTTTATTCAGGCTTCTTCGTATAACTTAACGCGCTCGTCTAGGGTGTGAGAGGTCTGGGGTTCAAATCCCAAACGAAGCAACTAATTTTTTTAATATTTGTTTAAGTGTCTTTTTTAAGGGAGTAGCCACGATATGCAAGGATAAAGCGTGGCTGTCATAAAAAATCAACATAAATGATTTTTTGATGCAACTCTAGTAATGCAAAATTCCGTATATATGAAACTCAAACTGTTATAGTAAAAAAAATCTAAACGCAGTCTCGGCATCTCGATGCCCTGCAAGATGAATTATAGTATATGAAAATAAACTTGCACAGGAAAATGCATACAGATATACAGTACGATTTAGATTGCAAAGATCAGAAAATACCACAGAGCTTGCAGCATTTTGATTTCTTATGTCAAATTAATCCATGAAAAAAATAACAATATTATACAGTTCTCAAATCCTTAGTGGAAGTATGTTGAATATAATGGTTAGCAAGTTACCATGAAAAAATAACAACCTTGCGATAATTTTGATGAGTATAGGTTTCAATTGAAATAGATATTATTTTTTCTTGCATTATTATACAACTATTGACTAGTGAGCCATTGAATATGATGTGATATTCAGCGGTAAATGTCAATATAGCATTTTACCGGTGAATATCACATAATAGTTATTGGATCATTAGACAATGATTGCTTTATTATATGATCAGCATAAGTTTAAAAAACACACACAAAAAGTTTTAAAAAAATCTGGAAACAAAGTGATCCCTCGGAAGCATTAATCACAGCAAAAGAAGATAAAATGGCAGACTCGGTTTGATTAAGTCTGTACATGAGGGATAATGAATAGGTGCAACATCCCCCACGCTTAATATTAAAAACAAGTTTTTAAGGTAATTTTATTACGGTTTTACTTTTACCTATCATAATGAAGTAAATATATTTTTAGAACGAGAAATATGCCATAAAGAGCAAAATGAAACAATTTTAAATAGTCTATGCTGTATGGTTATTGAATATGAGCCGGCTTCTATTTAAGATTAGAGAAATTTAGCCAGTAAATATGATACTACACTTAGTCATAACCTATTATGTATACTATTGTCTGTCTTAATAGATGCTTTTCTCATAGCAATTATTATCTCCCCTGGAAGCCAGTTTGAACCTTATTTAAAATATATGCGTATATTTACATTAATTTTGACCTATTTGTGAACAAAAGTAAAAAAAATAAATACCTTTTAACAAAAAAAATTAAACTGTCACATCCGAAAAATCACGATCTAATCCTCCGATGTAATATTTCGTAAAAACGGATTATTATTTCGTTAAAACGAATTGATATTTCGTAATAACGAATAAATATTTCGTAAAAAAACGAATTATTATTTCGTAATTACGAATTAATATTTCGTAAATACGAAATAATATTTCGTAAAAACAAATTAATATTTCGTAATTACGAATTAATTAATTTCTTTATTTCTTTCTTTTTTGTGTCTTATCTTAAATATGATGTATTTAATGTGGTTTCATTTCTCGTAAATGTTAAACTGATTTATTATTTTATCATGAATTAAATATACTTTACAATATTTGCAGAATACTGAAACAAATCTATCCTTCTAATTAGAGCATTCATATAACCTAAAATGTGCACATCCAAGTTTGCTTGAAATGGCCAATATTGGCGATAAAGCCGAGTCGTAGAAATCATGGAATACAGTATGGAGAAAACAAATAAAAATTAACAAATGAGTAAAATGACGTAAGTCAAGATAGCAAAGATGATATTCATTCGTGTACATCAGAATCCCTAAAAATCTGCGAGAATGCCCAAAACCGACCGGACAAACCAGTGCATTTTACTCAAGGGTGTCTCTAAATATCAAAAAAGTCATTATCTCAATAGAATCGAAATTCCTGATAGTCTGCAAACCTGATAGTCTGCAAAACAGTACCTAACTATAGTCGCAGACCTTGGTAAGGAATTACGGAGTGTTGCGAGGCAACAAAACTACGGTAGTCAATTCGATTGGCATCGAAACTAGAAAAAGTCTGGGAGAATATCATAGACAGTCGAAGACCTACATGTTTGCAAAAGTCTAGGAAGAGTCTTTATAAGTTTAAACATCATTTTATTCCATGAGGAATAAAAGAGGTGAAATTAAAAGTGAGAGTTGGGGCAACAATGAATTAGAGATGTATAATAGATTCAACAACAACAACAACAACAACAACAACAACAACAACAACAACAACAAATATTGCTTTAATTGATTTCATTCTTTCACAATTAATATCCAACGTTGATGACATTTCCCTCTTTTTTCAAATTTTAACGGCTGTGCAATAAAGCTATTTAAAAATTTCATAAATGTCATGTGAAGTTCTTCTATTCGAAACTAAACTCCACATAGACTGTCATTTATATACAGTGTAACTTCTGAATTCCGAAACTTTTAAAATCCGGAAACTTCTGAAATCCGAACATTTTTCAGGATCCCGAAATTTCTCTTTCTAATTTCTATTTAATTAATACCTCTAATTCCGGAACTTCTAAATTCTAAATTTCGAACGATTTTCTGGTAAAATTTGGGTCTATATCAGTTTGAATTTATTTTCAAAATCCTATATTAAGACAACACATGTATAATGTTCCACTTTCATTGTGGGTTAGTACTCTGTCCTCTTGATACGTATGATGAACAAATTGACACCCGGCAATGTTTTCTAATTTGTTCTGGACAAACTATTAATAAAGCAGTTGTTTGTTAAGTAAACACAGCAGCACAAGATAACATGACAATTTGAAAACATACTTGAGTCTTTGGTCTTTCATTCCTGACAGAAGAATACAATGGAGAGCATTTGAAAATAAATATTTACGGTTGCTAGTAAAAATATTATTCCGGTGAGGATCCTGCAAAATATTCAGCCACAATTAATGGTTTTACAAAGATATCCAATTTACATGAAACAAACTTTTAGGAGAACCCTCTTATACCTAACCGATACATAAAAGCGTGTCTATAAAACGCACGTACATTTCCAAATAACACTACTCTTGCGTTGTTCCGTTTTGAAAGCTGATGTCAAGAAATTGAATCATATCTCTTTTTCATTCATATTTCACAAGTCAAAAAAAACAAAGAAACATGACTTTAACTGCTAAAATAGTCCGAGTTGTAGTACTTTTATTATTTGTGACGAAGTTTTGTCTATGTAAAGCAAAAGCAAAAAATAAAGAGTTTTGCTTAGATGATGACGCTGTGATACATAGGATATTAGATTTATCTTATGTACAATGTCAAGAAGAATGTGGTAAGAGGCGACATTGTAAAGCAATCAACTACAGGCGGTCATTTAACCTGTGTGAGCTACTGGGGACCGATAAAGAACAAGGCAGTAAAGCAGACAAAGTCCAAAGAAAACAAGCGTGCATATTTTTGAAGAAAACGGAAATGTCAGATAAAGTCGTAAGTTGCTATCCTTTATGTATCTTTAAAGTTTCTTTTTTTCTGATTTATCACATACCCGTTAGGAACTTGCGACTCCGTAAAATGGTATTGCACGGCCGTGCATATATTCTTACCTTACGTCTTTTGCTTGATACAAACATAGTGTTAGGACGCACTAAATGTTAGCGTTATACATTGGGCGCGTCAATGAAAAATGACTTATTTTCACTTTAAACGTTTGTTTTTTAATTTTTGGTATGTGATAAATAGAATATTTAATGCGCGTAAGTTCATTATTGAATTGAATTTATTGAATTCGTTGGCTCGCATACTATAATTTTATCCAGCTCGTTCAATACATTCAGCATTTAACTTACATTCATTCAATATCCTCTATGTCGTAGAGGGTTTGGGATAGCATGTTGGTTAAGACATTAGTAGTAACTCATAGAAAGGTCCTTTGAGTAAATAGATAAAATGAATATCAACTTTTTTTAGTGCGCTATTAATAAAGACTTGTAAGAACCGTTTTTTTTTTCATTTTAAAATTTGAAAAGTTTGTCTTGAAATAACAAAAGGGTAAAGTAGATGACTTTGCAATATGTAAAAATAACGGAATTCAATCAAGTACCCCAACACTTTACTTATTATCATATTTTCAAAAAAGGAATTTAAGTACCCAAACACTATATATACTTATTATCATATTTTCAAAAGAGGAATTTAAGTTCCCTAACACTATACTTATAATCATATTTTCAAAAAAAGAAAAATCTAAGTTCCCTAGCACTATGCTTATTATCATATTTTCAAAAATGGAATTTAAGTACACTAAAACTATACTTATCATCATATACGAGGTAAATGTCAGAAATAGATAAATTAATTATTAATTAATTACAAGAATAGATAACGAATTCGTTACTTGTTACTCTGTGCACTTTTTTTATTTTAAGAATATCATCTTATATTTTGTCGATCACAGAGATCTTGTAATTTTCAAAAACAGCTTCTTTGATTAATATTCCGACACCACTTAAAATTTTAAAGCATTTATATGAATATGTGTGCGATCAATTCGGCGTCCATACTGTTACGTTTAAATCATTATATTTAAATGTTATTTTTCATTTTGAAACATCTGTTTTTTACAGATTAAGGGATGTGATTGTCCTGACGGGACGACCTGCAATCCGGTAACAAAGACATGCGTAGTAACTGGTTAAGTTATATTTTAAAATCTTGATGAACGACCTGTTATTTATGTTTTATTTTGTTATTGGTGGTGTTGTGTTTTTATGCCTTATTTCATTTCCTTTTTTCACCATAATATTCTTAAAGCTGAACCTTTTATATGTTTTATTTGTAACTTTTAAGTTCCGGACTTAAAATACAATACCTGTTTGTTTATTTAATTGAATGGTATTAACAATTTTTTTTATAAAAAGGGGACTGGCACCATGTTGCATGCCATACTAATATCTTTTTATGTCGAATTATTTTGACGGAATTTAATGTTATCAAAGCATATATATATATATATCTGAAAAGAAACGGAAAATGTCAAAGTTTCCTGATTCTAAATGGAAAAGAAATTAAAATACCCCCTGATGAAATGAAGTACGAAATATTCGATTACAATTACAACATACTGCCGAAATTGACTTGTTTTCTTCATATAGTTCATTATAATTGTTTACAAACGGGATCGGAATGGTTTGCGAATTGCACAGGAGATTCGCTGTTCTTTTTGTAAAAACATACTCTGATAATAAAACTATTTATAAATCACATGAATTCACGGATGATTTATATAAGATTATCAATAAATTACATTACTTACTTTATTAATTGATTTATTCAAAGATTGTGTTCACCAATGCTGAACTATTCATTTTTTTAGAATGCTCGAAGATTGTGGTAACCAATGCTGAACTGTTCGGTAACATGCACTCTATCGGTTCACGTGTGAGATTCAGGTGTAACAAGGGATACGTTGATGTGTCGAACGTAATGAATGCTGTTTGTGAAGCATCCGGTCAATGGTCATACAAACCAAACTGTATCAGAGGTGACGTCACATATTAGCATATTTAAATGAGGTTGTTTATAGGTACCATCTGAAACTCATATGATTCTCTCCTCTTACAAAATACCCCCCCCCCTGCATTCAATATATAATAGGTGTTTTAATTTATTTGATTATCTTAACGCAAACAGTGCAAAAGTATTTAAGTTTTTGTTTGATATCACATTTTATTGGTTATGCCAAGTCGGATCTCAACTCCAATTAATGCCGCAATTTTTAACTATTAATTGGTGCGTGCTTCAAAAGCTGTCCTTACCCACCTTTATATTGAAGAGACAAAAAAACAACAACAAAAAAAACAAAAAACAAAAACAAAACGGCAATGGCTCTACTCAGATGCCCTCATGTGCGTAAAATGTATGTATGTATGTGTGTGTGTGCGTGCGTGTGTGTGCGTGTGTGTGCGTATGTGTGTGTGGACTATGATTAATGAGCGTCCATCCGCCTGGTAAGACACAAAATGCAGCTTTCACTGTCGATTAAGGGCCCAAGACATTTCACCAGTCACGCACCCTAGTACCCCATCCTCGTGGACTCTGCCTACACTCCCCTCGGCTTTAGTCAGGACACATCGGCAGTTAACTTCATGCAAGCTAGGTCGTGCCGCATTAAACGTAACTTCGAGCTATAGCAAACATGCAAACTTGCGGTCTTACACGAAACATTGGTTCTTCCATCATCTGCCGATGCCCCGTGTCTTCGTCATCTGCCATATCCCCTTTCAAAATTCCATTTTATTTAGTTCCGCCCATTGTTTTCTCGTTTAGGGCACATGCATTTTTTTACTTGGGGACCATATGCCGCTTTTCATGGAATGGCACTAACGTGTCACATTGAAGGTTCCATGATAACCGCCATATGAACACATCTGCGGATGTTTCAAAATTCTAAATTTTACCAGTTCATATTAAATGTTGAATTCTGCTTAAGCCGGTGCTAGGGGGCGTGGACGGTAGTTTGCACTTGACAGTACCGTCCATGAACAGGCTCAATCAAACCGAGCCTGCAACATTTTCAATTTGCCGTGTTGGGCTTTCTTTAGGGATTCTTATTTCTCTCTATTTTCTCAACGACGTTAAGAGAGAAGGTATAACGCACACGGAAGAGCACCTAAGGTCTTTCTCCACCAGCAAAGTTGGAATATGCCATTTGACCTATACTGTATTGGTGCAACGTAAAACCCCAAAATATCTTGTTTGTAACTCATTCGCTACCACAGATTAGCAAAAATGTTAATGACATTTTATTTTTAGAATTTTGCTGAACAATATTGCATTTGTGAAAAATGCTATGCCACCGCATTAATACAACACTAAATAGTAATGTAGCAACAGAATGTTTTTTGTTTCTATACAATTGAGGAATAATTGCCATAATGCATAGATCACTGACCTATCTAATTCTTATTATCAGACTCGTGGTTAAATCTATTGTTTTTCAAATAAAAGATCAAAGTAGGAATCTATCAATGCAGATGAGTCTAGTGAATTTGGTGGTAAAGGTCACATTTCACATGGCCAAAATTCCATGACTGTACATCAAAGGACAACAGAATAAGGCACTTTGTCAAAATCTAGGCCAGCTGATATCAAAGTTTACTTTACATCCTACAAGAAACCTGATATCAAAGTTCAATTTTACAACTAAAACTGTGCACATAGTCCAAATTTCGTGGCTGTACATCAAAGGACAAGAAATAGGGCAAGGCAAATTTTGACCCTTGAGTTTAATTCAAACAATTCTGATACAATTCAGAAAACATTTGTTTTAGTTTCTGTTTTTATTATGTGCACATAACGAAAATCAATGCCCCCTGGCAGGTCCACTTTTGACACCAGGGGAAAAATTTGAACAACTTTGGTAGAGGAACTATGGATGATATTATAAAGCAAACATCAAAGCTCTAAGCCTTGTACCTTCAGACAAGCAGATTTTTTATTTTTTTACTATATGTACATAGTGAAAATCAATGACCCCCGGGAGGGGCCAATTCTGACACCAGGGCTATAATTTGAACAATCTTGGTAGAGACTTACTACACAAAGTCTCATGCGAAATATCTAACCTCTAGCCTTTGTCAATTCAGAGAAGAAGATTTTATTTTATACATGTAAGGAAAACTAGCAGGGCAATTTTAACACTAGGGGCATAATTTAAACAACTTTGGTAGAGGACCCGTAGATGATATTATATACAAAATATCAAAGCTCTAAGCCCTGTACCTTCAAGCAAGAAGATTTTTATTTTTTTACATGTACATGTGTAAAGTGACTGAAAATCAATTGCCTCCTGGGCTATAATTTGAACAATCTTGCTAGAGGTTCACTACACTATGTTTCATGCAAAATATCTTACCTCTAGCCTTTGTCAATTTAGCTAAGGTTTTACTATATACATATAAGGAAAACCTATGACCCCGGGGCAGGGCTAATTTTGACACTAGAGGCAAAATTTGAACAACTTTGGTAGAGTACCTGAAGATGATATCATATACCAAATATCACAGCTCTAAGCCTTGTACCTTCAGACAATAAGATTTTTTTTAACTATATGTACATAGTGAAATTCAATGAACCCCGGGGCGGGGCCAATTCTGACCCCAAGACTATAATTTAAACACTCTTGGTAAAGGTTTACTACACAATGTTTCATGAAAAATATCTTACCTCTAGCCTTTACCAATTTCGAGAAGATGATTTTCAAAGTTTTTTTACTATATACATGAAAGGAAAACCTATGACCCCCGGGGCGGGGCTAATTTTGACGCTGGAGGCAAAATTGGAGTACCTATAGATGATATCATATCTAAACTCAAATCGCTATATGCCACCGCATCGCAGATGATGTGGTAGATAAAAAGGCAATAATTGTCAACACAGAAAAAGTAAAATAAAATCTTTTAATAAATCGATTTTACTTTTTTCTCTCCTCCTAAAAAGATTGCGGTACAGCCCCAAACATTGAAAACGCTCATGTGATAAGTGGTGGTGATATAACGACAGAGGGCGCAGTTGTTCAATACCAATGTTTGTCAGGGTATACATTCAACGGCAATCCGGGTACCTTGACGTGCACAGCAGACGGAATATGGTTTGACCAAGCTAATGTCGTCTGCAGTAAGTAACTAAGTACATGGTTGTATTGTTTTTGTTTGACTATGTCATTTTGTGGTAATCCAATACGTAATAAAAAAATCATAAAATATGCTAAATAGTCGATAACCAGTGAAGGGCAGGATCCATATTTTTACATAGGAATAGTATACATATGGACCTTTCCGGTTTTTCGTAAGGGGAAATTTAGCCTAACCTTTTCCATTGCTAGGTCAACTGCTCACAAACAGTATCAAAACATACCCACGTGTCTCTTTGTGCAAACCAGGTCAACCAGTGACCATGTATTATCTCAGTGTAGCAATTGGATAACAAGTTAGCCAATTTACATAAAACTGTAGACTATGGAAAGGTCCATTCTTTTATATAGTTAAAAATGTACCAATGTAAAATGACAACGCGTAAATATGGAATTACATCATAAAAAACTGGTAAATAGATTTTTGAAAGGAAAAAATATAAAAATAGCAAATGACTTTCAGGTTTTTAAGTTAAAAAATGATGATACTTGTAGGAGACGTTCATGCAATTAGTTTATATAGATTACAATATTTCTAAGAAGTAATTATTTTCCTGCTTGTTTTTATAGATCAAGAAGAGGACGATTAAGAGATGGACGATCAACAATAACTTGAAAAGGAACAATACACACTTTCTTTTACCATTTCGGGTACATTTTACGTCTACAAATTCTTTACAGATTAGAATTCACAGTACACCTAGACGATCTTTCGCCTTTAAATTTTTCATCTGTTCATTCATTTTATATTCCACGATCAATAAACTCTAATATTTTCAACGCATTAGACTTTCCCCTATAAAACATACCATTCTAAAGAAATATAATATCACTCATACAAATTATCCTCATATATCATGAGTGTATACTTCTAATAATATGTGTAATTCTAAGAGATGCGGATGTTGTAACTTTTTATCGCACAGATCTACAAATAACCTCTATTGTCAATGAGAGAACATTTAATATTATTTTAAATACAGATATTGACTGAAAAGCAACTCATTTTGTTTATGTTTTAACTTGAAACACCCCTGGGTGCGGCATACAGTATGTTGGTCAGACAGGACGTTCTCTTAAAATTCGATTCCGTGAACGTTTTTTATAAAATGAGAAATCGCACAAAATTTACAACTTTTCTATATTAACATTTTCGTAAAGATGGTCATTCATTTTAAAAATGTTTCAATTCAACCAATAAAACAAATAATTTATGATTCTGATGCTTCTGCTAATTTTAAAATTAAAGTTAGACAATTATCAGAATAAAAATGGTTCAAGAAAATAAAATATGATAAACAAGATCGACAAGGAAAGGCGGCTTTCAATGAACGCAACCCCCACACGACTCAGCAACAAGAACCAGTGGCAAGGAGACCAGACGGACAAAAAACAAAAACAGGACAGGGCACAAGGCAGAGCACGGACAGGCTAAAATGATAAATATTTGTAACTGATAAGGAATTCAAAGAAAACTAATCAATGATTGATAATTTGTAACTGACAAGGAATTCAAAGAAAACTAATTAATGATTGAACAATAGGGCCACAAAATTAAATAGCACAGGGAAAGGGAACAGAAGTCCCGGGGGAGGAGGGGGGGCAGGGTTAATTAAAGAAATAAAACTAGGGGAAAAGGGGAAGATACAAAGCGTAGATGGGACGACACAAGCAAACAGTATGAAACAACATAGACATACATCTAAGGAACACAAAGGGGCACCGCCTTGGAATGGTCAGCAGCACATGTACTGCTGGGGTGTTTAAACCGGTTAATGGCGCACAAAACCTCACTCTTAGCCACATCATTTTCCTATAAACAAGAAGGTGTAAATAAAATGATTTCCCGCCAAGTAAAATTTTAACAGTTTTTATGGTTACAAAGGTTAAATAAGTAAACAACAAAAATGATCATGTAGAAACATATAAAAGTACACTCAATGGCCGAAACAAATGTACTCAATGTCCTAAAGGAAGACAAAGCAACAAGAAAATGACCTTCAAGGGCCCGACAAAGTAAGGCAGAAGACGAACATAAAGGCAATTCAGTCCCAAAGGGCTTTAAGAACTGTATCATAGAGTCTCCCACTTTGTTCGTCAGATGTAATCAAAAGAGGAAAGCGTAGTGTCCAACTGTAAAAGGGTTGAACACTTAGCGTGCAGTATGTCTTAAAATAGTATGGCCGTAACCTCTTACAATAAAACGTTTAATGATTTTAGTAAAAACAGCAGAAAAATTACCATGACCCAAAATCTTACAAAGTTTGTAAATCACATCGCCATAAAAACTAGACTGGCTAATCCCTTGTCGCAGAGAGTTTTTTAAATCACTATTGAATTTTGAAAAAATTAAATCAAAATTACGATTGTAAAATTTTATAAAATATTTCCGTCATTTATGATAGCGGCAGCCCTGTTTTAGAAGTTTGTTGGAAATGAAAATATTCCGCTCGTTGAAATCCTTTATGTTGCTACAAGCTCTAGTGAATCTTATTAACTGAGAAACATATACCTCGTAAGATATTGCATGGAATATGTCTCCATCTAAATGTGGATAATTAACTATACAAAACTCAAAGTCATCTCTTTTATCATAGAGTTGTGTGTGAATAGAATTTTGTTGATAGTAATATGAAGATCCAAAAATGATGTACTTAAACTTCAAGAGTTCGTTTTATTAAGTTGTAGTTCATGGGGATAAATGTCATCAGGTCCAACCCCCATGTTACTCAGAGATAATTAAAATATTGAACAACAAGATTAGTTAACTTTCATAATGTTTCATAAGTAATCGGTATAAAACATATTTTACAATTTTATATATTCTTTAAGAAATTGTCATTCAATGAAAGAAATTATTTGAATAATAGAAACCGTAATTTACTTTCATTTCAATAATCTAAGTTGTTACCCAGGAATAAACTTAAAAATCTAATTTACAAGATCTTCTTTCTGTTTTGTTTCATTATAAATTTCATCCTTCCTTTGTTAAAATTGTATTAATCAATGTTTGTTAGACCTGAAGTCTCAATCGCACTTTTCAATATCGTCGTATTAAAACAACTTTTAATAATAAACACTAAATTTCATCTTATATGATAGATATGGTTTCCTGTAGCAATATAATCAACACTATCTGAAATCATTCCTTCACCATAAACTTGCAGCATGATTGTCTTGAATAAATTTATAGTTCTGACTGCAAAATAATTTTGTAAAAACGATGTTGAAAATAGAATAACAGCGAGGTCTAAAATAAATGAAACAGCTTCTTTTGTTTCCTTAAGACAATTGTCAACCAATAATCTTTAATTAGATCTAATCTCATATCTTAATTGTTTATCTAAAGGGAAAGGTTTATAATCATAAACAGACACGTTAAACGTAGTCTAGAACAGGAAACACACTAAATAATGTTGTATGTCAAAGAGCTATTTCCTGAACAGTCACGATGTGTCTATTTACCCTTCATGTCAGGAGACATAATGTACTATTTATTTAGATGTTTGTTTATGATGTATGCTCAACAAAGTTTTGAAAACAACAACAAGATTAACAACAACAACAACAAAACCCCTAGTGGTTAACGCATTGGAACGTAAGCTTTTACGCTCACTGCTTGGTAAAAGTTGATTCCAGGAAGGGCTTCGAAAGTATGTCTATAAGCTTATAGCCTCGAACACAATCGAAAACATTGAACTCATTATAAAACAGACATTAAATAGGACTTTAAGGGTTAATACACTTTGAAACTATCTGACTTACTCATATTTGTAGTATTTGAAGTACAGCCTGTTTGGGTGTATTTAAATGATGCTATAATAAGCAGTATAAACAGAATTGATCTTTTCAATATTTTAATTATATCTGAGTAACATGGGGGTTGGACCTGATGACAAGTAAAACCAACAAGACTGGTTAAGATAACAGGACTTCCATGTGTGACATTTCATAAGCAGCCTGGAATGATAGCTGTTATTTTAGCAGACCTGTAAAATATATTCTCCACTCAAAAATTATACGATAGTTCGCAGAACGTGACAATTCATATAATAAAAACTCTATTATTATTGAAAGAAATACTTATCCGCAACAGAGACAAAATAAATAAAGTAGCATTATTTATTTCTATTTAAACTAAAAGAAAAGAAACTGTGTGATACGACGTTGTGATACGGTAATTGCTAGTTGGTAGAAATTTCTAAGATTTTTAAAAAAAAAGAAAAAAAAAAAAAAAGACAAAGCCCTACGAGAATTAACGGTGGGCGTTAGATGTTACTTTGCAGACAACATAAAAGAAAAACATTCTGCAGACAATAAAGACTTTAAATAACTTGTTTTCTATATCCCATAAGTTCTTTATTAAAAGTCAAAAACAATCTACCAGATGCGTTTAAATAACATTCATGAAAATGTAATATTATAGTTGAAAATACCATCAGGGACATGTCTGCAAATTTGAAAAATATCCTAATAATCTATATTGTCTGCAATATTCTTATTTGTTTATATGACCGTGTATATCGTCCAATGTTTACAATTGTGAAATACATAAAAAAAGTATAAGTCATTCCATGTAGCAAACGTATTTCATGAAAAGTTCATGGTGCCCTAAATTGTGAACAGGAGGCGGAGCTAAATATAAAAAGAAATTTTAACGGTATTGAAAGCTATGAAACGTGCAAATCACAGACACAAGCTTAACATAAAAGGCAAGCAACATATCACAATTGTAATACAGAAATCCATTTGGGAAATTTGGAATCACTCAATGAGAAAAATATTAAATAGGATTAAAAAAAGAATAAAAAAAGAAGAAGAATATCTCTGAATGCTCTGATTGAATGTACGGGACAAATTTTCACAAGAATTACTGATGAAACCATTAATGGCATACAAGTAATGTAGGTTAATCGGAAATTACATCTCTAGGAAAGATGTATTTAACCTTTTTGTCAGGGATTTTTACTATTTTCTGGAAAATCTTCTTAAATTTAATTTTAAAGAACTATGCCAAATCTGTTATGACTCCCTAATTGTCATTTTGTGCACTATATGTCTCGAATATGTGTAATTTAATCTGAGTGCACTTTCTCTAAGTAGGGTGCTTCTGCACATGAACAAATCCGAAATCCAAAATCGGTGGTGGGATTCGAACCCACAGTGGTGAATGGCAAGTTGTCTGATATCAGCCATCGTTACCACTCGACTATGGATGACAATTCCAGTTTATACCATAATAAAGAAGATTTATCGATTTACCTAGTATATTTCGTGATAAACGTGTAATTGATTCAGCTTCTTTATACTTAAAAAACTCTGAGATTCCAATTATTTGCTATAAATATAAGGAACCTGTAAGAAATATTATATTTAATTATAACAAGGCGGTATCTGACTAAGATGTTCAGTCTAATACTCCAACAACTTGAGACTGCAATACTTCTTAATTGTGGTATTCAGATTTTGGCCATGTAATCACTGGTAATTTTGATATAATTCTTGAAAGGACCTAAATGCAGAATTCCTTCTGAGATTGATTTTGCTTGTCGTAGTCAGATTACTGAGTCTATTGAGGATTTTTCGGTCAAATGGTGTCGCCGTGAAAATGCGGATAGTAATGCTCTAGTTACATGGAAACGTAACATCTTTAAAATTATTGATTCACGTATTAATTTTTATCGTGGTAATGAACATCTTCTTCCACCTAAACCAAGACTTACTTTAAGACATCTGAAATAGAATATTCTAGCCTTTCATTCAAAATTTGTGTTGGTGCCAGCGGACAAGGTGGCTAATAATATTATATAGTGAATATTTGTTGTTTGTGTGTAAGATGAAATTTTATTTCATCGACAGTATACTCTCAAGTGGGAGACTCTATGATGGACGGTTCTTAAAGCCCTCTGGGACTGAAGTGCCTTAATGTTCGTCTTCTGCCTTGCTTCGTTTGGCCTTGTATGTGATTTTTTTGCTCAGTCTTCCTTTAAGACATTGAGTACTTTTGTTATGGTCATTGAGTTTACTTTTATATGTTTCTATATGATCATTTTGGTGTTTTACTTTGTAAAAATAACGTCCGTTAGAATTTCACTTGGCGGAAGGTTCATTTTATTCCCTGCGGGCCGGAGCCCGCAGGGTATTGGTACGCGTTTAATTTTTGAGGCATGGGGGAGCACGTGACCTGTT